TCACCCGACACAGGGACTCGTTTAATGAAAATGCATCTACTGTTAGTAACATGTAGTTGCATAGGGTTTACTGACCACATTTTAAGGAAGAAAAGCAATATATTTTGCCCACAAGTGATCAACTTTACAGCCACCCATTCAGCCATCTGTCCAAACATGTTTATTGAAGGCTGACTGTGCCCTAGGCCCTAGGCTCAACTCCATAGCTTCTTCTAAAGCAAGAGTCCTAAAACCTCAAAAACCCAAGCTGAAACACTGACATTCTGAAATACAATTTCCCTACTCTTATTTTAGAAGGGGAAAAAAATCCCAGCAATTGCTGGAATACGGGAAGTTATACAAATAGAATAATAATTATATCATTTAAGTCTCCTAAGCTTGAAAGCATTTTTCAAATATTTATTCTTTTTCTCAATGTATTCTAAGAGGAAAGGCAGGAAGGGTGAAGTGGGAGAGAGAGTAAAAGTGACAGGGGTGAGAGCACTAAAAATGCTCAACACGTGAAGATGGGATTAAGCGGGCCAATTAATTTTTAATGATATCATTATGTTCATGTTTAAAACACCATACACATATGAAAGCAAGTTGAAATCTGCCCTTCTGAAATAAATGCCACCACTACGATTGTGAGTTGGGCCAAACCCGAGTGGCCCAAGGCAGAGCCTGTGCACTCGGTGGTGACGCTAAGGGCCACTCCCTGCAGAGCAGCGACATTTTCTGATCGGTGCCCAGAAAGTGAGTAGGTGACACTTGACAGGACAGCTGGGGTATTTCTACTTTGTCAGGCAATAAGAAAAAGATTTTGTCACAGTCTGGGGCCATGCCTTTTTCTCTTTTGTTTTTCCCTGCATTTTTTTTATCATCAGTTACCTAGGAAGGAAAAGTCATCTTAATCACCATTCCACATGCTGTCCTCCAACAGAAATGACAGACAGACCCGTTTGCGTGTGAACGCTGAGCGCAACACTTGCTGAGTGACTGCTGCTTTGGAGGTGCTGGGCTAGGTACTGACCAACCAAGCCAGTGTGCTAATGTAATCAGATCAAAAGTGAGTTTTGCACAGTCTATAATAATAAAAATCTCATCATCTGTTAAGGGACTCATAATTGAATAACTGCATGTCTATTGATGTAATAATCTGATAATCTCATGTCTAACAATTTCATGTCCAGCAAGGAAAAAGGGAAGGTAAACACATGATTAGGGCACAGATGTGGGTGGCCAACAATGAACCCAGGAGCCGCGTCCAAGCACAGGGGCCTGGGGTCCAAGGTCATGCCAAGGGCCCTGGGGCTCAAGAGCCCTCGTTGCTGTGACCATGGTCTCTTTGCTTCAGCGGGTATGTCCGGCTCTCCTGACCATGGCAGTGAAGGACTCTGATCTGACTTCCTGCCTCAGATTCTAGACTTCAGGGCCAACTGCAAATCCCTGATTTGTGTTCCCAGGTCCACTTTTTAAAAACAGAGCAAAGGCACCGACCAGTGGAGTCAAGCGTCCACACACTCTCCGACCGCCGCGTTTCTCACTGCAGGGCGGGGCTGGCGTCTCGGTGAGTTTGGTTGGTGTGGATCTCACACTGGTCACTGCTGGTAGATAGATTAAACCAGTGTTCCAAACTGGAAGAGCTGAAAGCCAAGGAAATGGCAGCCCTGCTGAGACGGAAAACAAGTGACATGAAAAAGTCATCTCTCTTCCACATATGTGTGCAATGTGGGCCACTAGAAAGAGCCATGGTCCGCAAAACAAAACCTGGGTTCTAATCCCACAGCACTGTGTTTACCTGTGACTTGAGGCACATGGGTTTCCACACCCTGACCTGAAAAACGGGAACTGAAGTACCTTTCCATGCCCTCAGAAGGTCATGATTAATATAAAACAAACAATGAGTAAGAAAGGGCTTTGAAACCCATAAAGTGCTGCACGGGAAGAAGTTAGCGCTGCCTTCCTCTCCTGCAAACAGCCCCTGCCACAGCATCCATTAGCGAGTCAGCATCATCAGCTCAAAGACATGAGAAAGAAGTCAGTGTTACCAGGAAGAAAGGCACAATGTCCAGACTCTCTGCTGTGCTTCCCGGGCTGACAATTTCTTCCTACAGGCCTGGGGAAACAGAATTTGAACCTGTCCGCCACTCTAAGAGCTCTCCTGATTTCCAAAAGCCTCCAGGATAAATCTAGTTCGAATGTGGTTGTTTCTGGAGTACGGCTATACAGTCATGAAATTAGATCAGAAAAGAGTTTCTAACTAAATGTAGATATATATACATTCAGAAAATGCTCCCAGGAATCATTTCAAAATAAAAAGTGGCATTGTGAACTCTGCCCTCCCCCCGCCCCATATCCCGTGTTTCATCGTTAACATCTCCAGTACTGTGGCTGACACAGGGGAGGGTGGGGGCATGGCTTTGGACCCTGGACCAAGGGGACAGTGCCCATTCACTGGCCGTCACGATGTCTCTGGGCTCACCTGACGCCTTCATGGGAAAACACCAAAATGGGTTTGGCCCGTTGTATACAGGCTTTTTGCCCACGTTGGGAATGAAGAGGCAATGGACTTCTATTGTAGTTTTCTCGGGTGCTCCCCTCTGTGCTGGCATACCCACTCTGACACAGAATCGTACCCACCTGGTCCCGTGTCCCCCACAGACAAAGGGCAGAGACCAGGCCAGCTTTCTGTCCTCAAGCTATCAGATCTCTACCTGGGAGACAGAAGGTGCTCTTTAAAGGGGACTGAGTAAGTGAAGGAAAAAAACTACACTTATGAGATTCACTTTTGTTACAGTACAGTGTTCCTTTATATTACACTCATATATAACCTTTCGATTCAGTGACATAGCTAACACATGCTGTGTAAGCAGTACATTTATGCACATTAAAGCAGCTAAACACTGAAATTAGGAAATAGACTGGATTGCCGAGATTACATGAGAAAGGTGACTACGATATGTGTCCATGAATTAACATGATTCATGTATGAGTTTATTTGAGACCTTTCTTGGACATCTACTACGGCATAATTTCCAGGCCCAGAAGGCAGAAGGCAAAGTGAGGTAGGCTCATACTCTTGGGCAGGTGAGCGCTGGGGAGGGAAAGCACCAGCAGATGCTGCGGTGGGTGTGCATCTCAGGGCTGAGACCACTGTGGAGGGCAGCTGACAACAGCTGGGGTGAGGAGGCATCCAGAGGGCTCCCCGGAGAGGTGACGCTTGAGCTGAAGCGCAGGTTACTTTAAAACAAAGAACCAGGCGTTCCAGGCAGAGAGAAGGTCTGAGGCCCCCTTAGCTCCACCAGCAGAGGGAAGGCTGTGCACACAAGATAGACAGAAGTGCAGGACAGACAGACAGGAAGGACAGGGACCACACGTGATGGGCAGTTCTGTGGGCTAAGCATCTCTCAGGCACCTTCAGTGAGGGAGGAGCTGTATTAGACTCTTCTTCCCTCAAGGGACCCAGAATCTACTCTAAAAAGTTATTAAGAAATACTAATTGGTAGTTACAGAACAGTTACAGAAACATAAACTACAGCACAGGGAATATAATCAGTAGTATTATGATAACTATGCATGGTGCCAGGTGGGTACTGGAAATATTGGGGGGAAATCTGTAATGTATATGACTGCCTAACCACTATACTGTACACTGGAAGCAAATATAAAATAGTGATGAATGCAGACTATAGTTAAAAATAAAATAAAATAAAACAGCTTACAAGCAATAGCTGAAGGGTCAGTTAAGAAAATGTAGATAAGCAAACAGGAAGGAAAAAAAGGAAAGCAAACACTCAGTTCAAGGTAACTTAGTGCGTATCTGAACTTCAAGATCTGGCTTTAAATAAAATCACCACTCTTAAAATAGAGGAAAATTAGGTGTGACCTTATGAGTTGTACGTGCTTTAGAATTCTGAAAGACAAGGGATTTTTTTAAATAAAAAAGAAGTTTCTCTCTCTCCATAGAGACAGCATCTCCAGTGTATTTATTGCTGTCGCTGAAGCCCCCATCTTATCTTAGAGTCACTGAGGACGCCTCCAGGAAAATGAGAGAGTGCTCCTATCTGTGTCCCAAGCACAGCGCCCCAGGATGAGCCACCCACCCTGCTCCTCGGTCTGAATGTGGGCACAAGGGGCTCTCCTGCAGTCCCCTGAAGGAGCGTGTGTGCAAAGGTGGTGAGGCATCATAAAACACAGCGCATATTAACGCAGCAACTTGGTTTTGCGTTGCTTATTTTTTATGTGATAAAAACATCAGTATCCATTTAAAAGAAGGAATAGCTAAGGGCCTATTTTAGTGCTGTAATAAAGTTACTTCTTTCACTGTTAGTGACTAATAGAATCTAAGCTATTTTCCGGGAAAAATAGAACAGTAAAACATCGATCAGATTTCCCTATAAGAATGACAACATACAGGTACATCTGTGGCAAGTGAGACTTCGTCTCTTCCAAACACTGCAAAAGTGAAGCCACTTGATACAGAGGACACTGTGGAGAGAAGGATGAATGAAAACAGGAAGTCCCGCCGAATACCAGGACTTCCAGTTCATATTGCAATTGATCCCCGGGGACCGGACTGACCTCGGGCTAATGCATTTGCTTGTAACTGAACCGTATTGTGGTTTTACACCCTTTAATTTGGTCTGTGGAAGAGGGGCAATGGGTATGGCCGTTGAAAGGTATTCTTTTCTTCCCATTAACTAATTGTCAAAGAGAATGAGAAGTATAATAAATACAATTACAAGGTACGAACAAGTAAAATTTGGAAATAACAGAAATATTGTGGAAGCATGTTTGTTATGTTTACTGTAACTTCAGCCTTCTAACGATTCCAGTTCTCAGCCTTCCAATGCCTGGGCCAATCACTATCGAAGGTAAAATCACATATTGAATTAGCCGTCAACTCTAAGAATATATGTGAGGTCACCATAATTAGTTAATGGACATTAATGATGGCACTTGTTTCCTCTAGACTAATTCTTTTTCTTCTGTTTTATATTTCATTTTATTATTGTTAGCGTCACGCTGCTCTTCCTGCAAGTACCGAACCAGGACGGGATTTGAATATGACACTCCTAAATAAATGAATTACTCCATCTCCTATGACCATCTATTCACACTCCGTCTTCAGAGCACGTCTCGGTCTCCCACCACAGTGGCGGCAGCGGCCTGCTGTTGTCCAACATGTGTGACATTTCCGGACAGGGCAACTGGGGTGCCGGCACGTAGTCCCACGACAGAAGACGCTGCAGGTCTACGGTGTTCACCGCTGGACACATGCCGCCACTTTCCTCGTCAGTCAGCTCTCGCTGAACCTACTGGCAGTGACTGCGGAATCCTTCTGGGCCCGTTCCGTTGCTGAAGAGGAAAGCTAAGATGAAGGGCATGCCACTCCGAATGCACGTGCTACTCGGCCTAGCAATCACGACACTGGTGCGCGCTGCAGACCAGAAAGCGGATTGCCCACAGTTATGCACGTGTGAAATCAGGCCTTGGTTTACGCCCCGATCCACTTATATGGACGCCTCTACTGTGGACTGTAACGATTTAGGTCTTTTAAATGTCCCAGCCAGGCTTCCTGCTGACACACAGATTCTGCTCCTGCAGACTAACAACATTGCCAAAATTGAACACACTATAGACTTTCCGGTGAACCTGACGGGCCTGGACTTATCACAAAACAATTTATCTTCAGTCACCAATCTTAATGTCAGAAAGATGCCTCAGCTCCTTTCTGTGTACCTAGAGGAGAACAAGCTCACAGGGCTGCCTGACAAATGTCTGTCGGGACTGAGCCACTTACAAGAACTGTATATTAATCACAACTTGCTCTCTGCAATTTCGCCAGGAGCCTTTATCGGCCTACACAATCTTCTCCGGCTTCATCTCAATTCGAATAGATTGCAGATGATTGACAGCAAGTGGTTTGATGCTCTTCCCAATCTGGAGATTTTGATGATTGGGGAGAATCCAATCATCAGAATCAAAGACATGAACTTTAAGCCACTTATCAATCTTCGCAGCCTGGTTATAGCTGGTATAAACCTCACGGAAATACCAGATGACGCCTTGGTGGGGCTTGACAACTTAGAGAGCATCTCTTTTTATGACAACCGGCTCATGAAAGTGCCCCACGTTGCTCTTCAAAAAGTTGCAAACCTCAAATTTTTGGATCTCAATAAGAACCCCATTAATCGAATCCGGAGAGGCGACTTCAGCAACATGCTGCACTTGAAGGAAGTGGGGATAAATAACATGCCCGAGCTGGTTTCCATCGACAGTCTGGCCGTGGACAACCTGCCAGATTTAAGAAAAATAGAAGCGACTAACAACCCCAGGTTGTCTTACATCCACCCCAATGCATTCTTCAGGCTGCCCAAGCTGGAGTCCCTCATGCTGAACAGCAACGCCCTCAGCGCCCTGTACCACGGTACGATCGAGGCCCTGCCCAGCCTCAAGGAGATCAGCATACACAGCAACCCCATCAGGTGCGACTGTGTCATCCGCTGGATCAATATGAACAAAACCAACATCCGATTTATGGAGCCAGAGTCCCTGTTCTGTGTGGACCCACCTGAATTCCAAGGCCAAAATGTCCGGCAGGTCCATTTCCGGGAAATGATGGAAATCTGTCTCCCTCTTATAGGGCCGGAGAGCTTTCCTTCCAACCTGGACTTAGAAACTGGGAGCTATGTTTCCTTACACTGCAGAGCGACAGCGGAGCCACAGCCCGAAATCTACTGGGTGACACCGTCTGGTCAGAAGCTCTTGCCTAACACTCTGATGGACAAGTTCTATGTTCATTCTGAAGGCACGCTAGATATAAGTGGTATAACCCTGGCAGAAGGGGGGCTATACACTTGCATAGCAACTAATCTGGTTGGTGCTGACTTAAAGTCCGTTATGATCAAAGTGGATGGTTCTTTTCCCCAGGATAACAATGGATCCTTGAACATTAAGGTAAAAGATGTTCAGGCCAATTCAGTTCTGGTGTCTTGGAAGGCAAGTTCTAAGATTCTCAAATCCAGTGTGAAGTGGACAGCCTTTGTCAAGACAGACAATTCCCATGCCGCCCAAAGTGCGCGAATACCTTCTAGTGTCAAGGTTTATAATCTCACTCATCTGAACCCATCGACTGAGTATAACATTTGTATTGATGTCCCCACCGTCTATCAGAAACACAGAAAACAGTGTGTTAATGTCACCACAAAGGGGTTGGACCCTGATCAAAAAGAATATGAAAAGAATGACATCACAACATTAATTGTCTGCCTTGCGGGCTTTCTGGGGATTGTCAGCATGACAGGTCTTTGCAGCTGGCTCTCTAATAAAATGAACTGTGATACCGGACAAAACTATGTGAGGAGTTACTTACAGAAACCAGCCTGTAAGTTCAGCGAGCTTTACCCTCCTCTGATCGACCTCTGGGAAGCAGGCAAAGAAAAAAGTACAGCATTGGAGGTGAAAGCAACTGTTATAGGTGTGCCAACTGATGTATCTTAAAAACAACTGACTAAATCTACTTCAGAGAAAAGCTGAAGAGTGAAGTTGTGCTTGGGGGAAAAGAGCATAGAAATATTACTTTCTAGAAGAAAGTTTAAGCTTCACCGATGCTGCTCCTGACCAATGGAAATTGTACAAGTTCAGCATTTTAATTTACCGGCTTCAAAGGGTACTGTGGCAACCAAATAAGATAATTCCATTTTCTAGAACTTTCATGTAACTTTTATGTCTGGACTGCAGTTACAGTGGACGAAAACATTTCTGTATTTTTTTTTAAGTATAAGAGAGTAGTTGAACTGAGCAATACCTCCGACTGTGTTGTATTACACATATTAGCCACGAGTTTTCACAGTGACCAGATGAACTTGAATTGACACGTGGTGTAATAAAATGGACAAATTCTGTAGAATAGACACAGTGAGTATGTGGACCTCTTTTATAAGAAAAAATACATTTTGGATTAAAATCAATTGCTTTTGTCTTGTTTTTGTTTTTAAATAAAGAATAATTTCTGGGAAATGTCATCTGACCAGATATCATTTAAATGACATTTTTTAAAAAGTGTTTTTCTATAATGAAATTTGAAGTGCTAAGAGTAACACTTTTACTGGGTTCTGTAACTACATTTTTATAATGCACAAAAATGGATTGAGAAGGCACTTTATCAATATTGAAAGGCAATCATCACATTGTACTTAACCCTTTCGCTAATGATGAAAAAATTCCCTAGTAAATTATGTATTCATTTAAAATATTTTCTTTTCTTAACAAGAAGCTTTTGTGGTGGATTTAATGACTAAGTTCACATAATATAAGTCAATATCTAAGGAACTGAAAGCCTTATTCTGATAATTAGTAGTAACTCAATTTTAAGATGCTTGCTTTGCAGAAAATATTGCCAAATTTTGGCAGAACTTAACATCTAGATGTAACCTTCAAATCTTTCTATGATTCTAAACGCTCAATGCGCTTTAGTGCAATAATAAGCAAATAATCAAATAATGTTCTATGTTGCAAACACAGCAATGAAACATATTCTACAAAACCCCAAAAGAAGGACATTTATATACTTACATAGCAACTAACCTTACAAGTGCTGACTTGAAGTCTGATCAAAGTAGATGGTCTTTTTACCCCAGAATAACAATGATATTTTTTAATTTTAGAAGACTGGGATTTGCCAAGACTAAAATCTGAGAATTTACTTTCAAAATCTATTGTATTCTGGGGTATTGAATTCATAGTAGAAGTTTATAGGTTCCATCTTATGAAATTCTCCCTTTTATTTACTTTACCCCAATATAAAAATGGCATGAGCCAGATTATTCCAGAGTTCGGCAGAAATTTAAGAGGACAACTTTCTTAATAAAAGGAAAGTCTCAAAAAAAAAATCAAAGTAGAAAAAATTAAGTGCAGTTCTCTATGACTCCATTTGAGGCACCTAAAAACACAGCTTTAAAAAAATTCAGAATCATTGAATCTAACTGCCAAAAATGTAACTGATTATTTAAGAGTCTTATATAGTAAATACGTAACTTTTACTTGAGCAAAAACCCAGCCAATATCTTTTAGGATTTTAGTTGTATTTACAAACAAAAACACAAAGCCATGCAAAATAAATGTACTTGTGTACAAAGGAGGTATCCTGAAACAATGAAAAACCATCTGAGATAATAAGCCACACTTTTTATAGGCAAATCACTTATCTCTGCAAAGCTACAAGGTTTCCATGTTAATTGCTCTGTACCTGTTCCTAATCAAGTGTTCAACTTTTCTTACAGTAGCTTGCTGTATAGTATCCACATGTCATTGTCCTGTAAACATTTACATACTGTAGTCATATCAATTTATTTGTTAATACTAGACTCTTGCTTTTGTGATAGCATTGACAGTTTCTAATTAAATCCTAGCTGTTTTTCACAATGTGGAAGGTAATTGTTATGAACTCTTTGAAATGAAAAAACAAACTGTGTTAACTTAACACAAACAAAATTGGAGACTTGATAATTCAGTGTGTTTCCCAAACACAGGTTTTACAACCTGATGAATCACTATCACACAGTGGCTGACATTAGAATTTATCAGCAAGACGTGCTCATACATCACGAGAGGTTTCAGAACCACGGACAGAGCTTTTTTTAAAAGAGCCAGGCTATTTGTCAAAATAGAGGAGCTGAAGTGTGACCTATTAGGATGCAGGTATTGTATAGATCAGCAAAAACTTTCTCAGGTATCCAGTGTGCTTTTCAAACCTATCTGCATGAAGAACTATAACAAACATATCCTATAGCTGAGAATCCATTTCAAGCTACATTTTCTTACGGAAATTGTGGCAAATAAGCACTCTGAATAGGCATTCAATACTAAGCATTGAAAGGGAGTATTTTTGTTACAGCCAAATAAATACAGAGGCTCAAAGCAAAACATGATGTTTACTTGATTAATTTAATCTAAATTGACAGTAAGAAAGAAAAAAACATTTGCTTCAGCAACAAGAATGGCATTTCACACTCCCTATGTTTCCCTCTAAATCTCACATAAAATCAACAAAGTCCTGGCCACAGTGCCCAAGGCAGGTAACTCACAATTCAGTGAGACCACATGGGTGCAGTGGCAAACCTCAACTGTGAAGTTCACACCTTTATGAATTCCAAAGGACCCCCCATCTTGTACAGAAAACATATTTTACACACAAAAAAATCAAAAATATATGTATTGTCTAATTTACACTAGAAAATAAAATTCAATTTTTAAAAAATAAGTATATCCAGTTGAGTACAAGAATGTATAAAAGCACTGCGGAAAGAAATGTGTTACTGTCAGCAAAGCCATGCTGCCAATCACATGCAGATCATTTTTACAGAAAAAAATATAAAATACATTTATGGTACATACATCAGCCTTTTGAAACTGATTTCAGTTAATTTTTTATTTTAATTAAATAAAGCATTGAGTGAAACTACATATCAGCAAGCTTAAGCTTAAAATTATAATTCCTTCATCTATTCATTGAACTATATTTTATTTACATTTCAAAAATATCCATGTGTGGCTATTTGTTACTGGAGACACAGAAGTGAATAGAACAAATTCTTCACCATTCTGGGGCCCATTTCTACTGGATTACACTCTGGTTGTATATTGCTGTTTTCACAAACATGTCTTAACTACATTACTTACTGGGGTCCCGGCTGCAAACCACACTTTCAAAGGAGCGCACTTTCATACACAGAAAATTTTACTTGGTCTAAAATCTTTCACTTATCATAACATGCTTTTACTATATCACAATATAGAAACTTAATTCAAATTTAATATTGAAATTTATCATTTATTATGCACTATAGATAGGAATTAACCTAATACCACCCTTAGACTGCTTAAATCAAGAAGCATGTCTACTAACCATAAACTATTTCTAGGAAAAGAAAAATGGATAAATACATGTTTCCTCTACTTTAAAAACAGAGACATTGACCATATAGGAAATATAACAAATTCAAAAAGGCAATCTAGCATTGACAAAATGTTTATTTATTTTACAAAGAAAACAATAAATTCTTATAAGATCTTTCAACAACTATGAAGGAAAACCTTCAAATTCCATGGGTTAACTTTTTACATGAAAAATCAGAAGTGATTTTTACATGAAAAATCAGAAGTAATCAACAGAGCAAACAATAAAATCAACTAAAAGTTTAAAAGTACATATTTGCTAAAAAGGAAAATTTCTGATAAAAATATTCCCACAACTACTAAAAATAGAAGAAAAAACTCTCACTGTATGAGGGGGGCCACCCCAAAAAAACCCAAAATTATTTTCTGGAGGTCAGACCCCTTGCAGTACAGGCTTCCCCCACTAGGTGTGGGCTCTAGGAACCCATCTGTATCAGTGCACCAGCTGGCATTGTTGTGAGAGGCTGTGTTTGGTTTCAGGGCATTTTTTTCAAGCCTCTTTCAACACATTTGCCCATTTCATGATGGGTAATTATGAGCACACCTATCCACTCTACATTGAGTGTTCTGCAGTTTTTAACCAAATATGGCATGACCTTTGTGCCCCACCCTCTCTATTCACCTGATCTCTCTAGAGACTTTTTTATTTTCCCAGATAAAAAAAGTCCTCAAAGGGAAACATTTTGCTGATGTGGAAGAAGTGAAACAAACAAACCAAAAAAGGGCAGAAGCACTAAAAGGCATCAAAATTGATGGGTTCAAAAACTGTCTTCAGCAGTGGAAAAAAATCTCAGTAGGTGTATTGTATCCCATTAAGAGTACTTTGAAGGTGACTGAAGTCTTAACATTTATGTTAAGAATAAATACACAGTTTTATAAATAAATTCCAGGAGGGTTTTTTGGTCCCCCCTCGGACATGCCCCCATTAAATGGTGACTTGGGCTTCATTCCACCTGGAAGTGAGGAACAATGAATAGTGATGATACTGTGACACCTTTTCTTGGATCCAATCTCACTCTCTCTCTCTCTGTTTCTTTAACTTCCCAAAACATTATAAAAAATAAGTAAGAGTTGTTTGGTTGTTTTTTTTTTTAACAAAATGGTTGTCGCAGATATGTTTACTATATCAAACATCCCAATGGTCTTTTGGGGACAAAGCTAAACAGAAAGACTACAGTAACCTTCACACTCAACTCCACAGCCCCCGCTGCTGTTATGCCATTTCACCCTGGCTGATGCGCTGCTCACTAGGTTGTTGCCTGGGAGCATGGCTGTATTGTCCTGGAGGAGAAAAGCCACATCTACAATCAAAATGCTACATTCAGTATCACCGAGTTCTGGAAAAAGAAAGAAATGAACTCATTTCAGTACACCTGTGGCTGCTTTTGTGTGTTTGTTTGAAAAGTGAGGACTCAATCTATGGTAAAAGCTGACCACCCACTTAGTTTATTTTATTTATACCTCTGAAGCAAGGGGAAAACAAAAACACTATCCATAGACAGGAATACAATGGCAAAATCAGAGTTAATTCTAGTAGTCACAATCCATGTAATCAATGCTTAGAATAAGACAATAAAAGATATTTAAAAACACTCTTCTAGTAAAATATAGGTCATTTTCTAAATCCAGACTAAACATTTCATTAATGATATAACAAAGGTGCTCTTGAATTCACTAGTAAGCATTCAGTATTCTCAGGTGAGAAGATAAAGCATACAAAATACCACACAAGTCCTTTTCATTCCCATCGAGAATAGACAAGCCCACAGATTGGAATTGACCTGTTCCAGTTCACTTAGTTCATTTTACAGTAATACACCTCAGAGGGCTCTTAGCTTATCTTTTAAATAAGCCATACAGTCAATACCAACTCAGGGGTTAGATACATCACAGGCATGTCAATATAACTTTCTCTTGAAATCAAACTGCGGCATTCAAATAAGGGATAAAGTGACAGCAAATATCATACATATATTCAATAACTTGAAAGTCATTATAGAAGAGTGCCCCATAGTAACAAAGTCTAACAGAGAATTCAGGCTGACGTCGGCAAGCCTTTCAGAAGAATGAACTAGAATGACATTTGAAGACCCCACAGTAATTTGTGTTTCTATTTCTATTTTCTAAGCCAAATATATTTTCAAGAAGCCAATAAGCATTATAAAGCCATAGTGAGGAAAATCCGCCTTCTCCCTAAAACATGCGGCTCCACACCTGAAGTTACTGATTCTAACCCAACTGTGATGCCCACTTAGAGTGTCTCCCAACAGATTATGGAGTGAGGCGGGAACAGGAGCTGACCCTCCCAGCCCTGGTGTGGAGCGAACCACCGCATAACACGCTCTCTGTCACATGCAACACCAGACTCGAGCCTGATCAAGACAGGATCATTCATAAACCACACAAGGGGACATAATTTAAGCAATATGGTCAAACACACCAAAAGAGCTCTTTAAAAGATGAGTCAAAAAAAAAAAAACCCTAACTTTGAGAACTGGAATTAAAGTCAGAGGCCTCTGGTAGACATCCCTTCAACGGAGGCTTCAGAGAAGAATCGTGTATTTAATAGAGAACAAGAAACCACATCTCTGGAATGACTTTAAAGGCTCCTGGCACTTCCATCTCTGTTTCCTCATCAGTTTGTCAATAAGCCAACATTTTAACATATATATTTTCATATTAAATCACTTATTTCATCCGATTTAAAAAACATATAAACTTACACATTTTGGATGCAAATAATTATGTGGTTCTTACTACCCAATTCAAATCCTTGAGTGTGAAAATGAAAATGCTTAAAACCATGAATATGGGAAAGAAAAGGTATAAAAACAGATGAGAACATTCATTTCTTTCTACTAACGAAATCTTTACCTACACAAATATATAGGGATTAGTAGATTGCATTTAACGAAGGAACTACATCAGAAACAGTTGTGTGAGGATAAAGGGAGTTCGCTTCCCCATTAAAAATGAATTATGTGTGTCTCAGGCTCAGTGCTGAAATGACAATACGATGCTTGAGGCATTTTCTGGCCTGTAAAAGGCATAGAATTAATATTCTTAATATAGTATTATTGTTGAGTAAATATACATTCATATCTACTTTTTAAAAGATTTTTTAATTTATTTTTAGAGAGAGGGGAAGAAAGGGAGAAAGACAGGGAGAGAAACACCAGTGTGTGGTTGCCTCTCATGTGCCCCCAACTGGGGACCTGGCCCACAATTCAGGCACATGCCCTGACTGGGGATCGATTCAGTGACCCTTCGGTTTGCAGGTGGGCACTCAACCCACTGAGCCACACCAGCCAGGGCACATTCATATCTACTTGAGTAACAACCTTAAAACAAGGAACGGAGGAAGGCAGGGAGGGAGAAAACATCTACTGAAGGCTACAAATGTGCCAGGCTAACCATCTGCTAATTTGCTATGGTCTTAATAAATGCATCTTACCAGGACTCTGGCATGCTGGTTTCTCTGATAGAATTTAGCTTTGTTGGATAACCTCTCATTTAGTATAAACCTTGGGGTCTGATTTTTTGAATTGGAAGTTCTATTTTATGAATTGGAATTTAAAAATTGGCTCAGAGGAATTCTATGAATGAATTTGTTCTAGGAGAATCAAGTTATTTAATGTAGGTTAGATGGCATGGACTGTTTGTTGATTAATAAGGTGGCAAAAAATGTTAAATGAGAACTTGACACTCTCCAACCTGTCCATATGATGCCCATGTAGGAAGCTGGTCACCTGTGCTTCCCAGGAGAAAGGAGGCAGTCCATTAGAACAAGCAAACACTTTCGTAGGTTATTGAGCTTCTATGAGGGCAAATTGGCATGCAAACATTAATTTCATGTGCAAAGAAGTTCCTCGGTGTTCAGTAAGTACTAATTTTTATTACAAATATTTGGAAGTCACTAGGCTGAACCATGTTCCTATTCCAAATGATAATGTCCCCACTTTGATTTTTTAATGAATCGTCTTTATGGTAGAACTCCATTCAAAGAATGAGATTGGAAAACTATAGTAGCCAAGTTCACAAACAGAGAAGTAAGGAGTGGTCCATGTTTTCATTCATAGGTGAATCTTATTCATGCACCCTTCATTCACTGAGGATCTACTATGTGCCAGACATGATATTAGCTACTAGAGATTAGCAAGCACTGTAACAGACAAAATTCCTGGTGTCATAAAACAGCCCACAGGCAGGCACCAACACATGGATCTGGTATCGACAAAATAGGTTGGTAAAAATATGATAAGCATGGGGAGAGCATACATATATTTATTGAGGGGCTACAGTTTATTATAAAGAGGCCCGAAAGAAGTTCTGAAAATGGAGACAATTTTTATACACTCTCCCAATTGGGGAGCAGAGCAGTGTTGGTGCATGTTGGGGGCAGAGTGAGGACGGCAAGAGGCTGCAGAATTTGAAGAGCAAGGGAGTGCTGATCAACTGTGAGAAAGTTCTGGAGACAGAAAAAGTTAGAGCTGGCTTCGAAAAAAAAATGGAGAAATGGGTAAAAAAATCAACCTTTGTTGCTAACCATGGTGGGGACTAACATCCCAGTGGAAAATGACGAGACTGAGTTTAAAACGCTGGGACTGATTCATAAGGATACAAAATTAGATCGCCACGTTTCAACCCTGTCTCCCTCTGTAGCCAGGTCTGGTCTGCCATCCAAACCCTATTTCTCCAAGGCTGGGAATATGAGGAGTCAGAAATAGAAAAGGAAATAGATGAAGACACAGCTATACCCTGACCCCCTCAGGCCTTCCCTAATCTGAAACCACACGCACGTGCACACACGCATGCGCACACACACGCACGCTCAAGATGCTCACAAGCATATACTTGGACGGACACACACCCTTCACGTTTAAGGTTGGTAGAGTCCATTATTTGCCAGTTAGCTTAGTTTCAGATTTTTTTCCAGTTTTCCACAGTACTTTACTTTTTCATTTTTCAATTACAGTTTACATCTGATGTTATCTTACGTTAGCAGAGGGTACGCAGCATGGCATGTCAGACAATCCTATCCTTGACCAAGCGTCCCCCAGTATTGCCAGTGCCCACCCGCCTGGCACCGCACAGTCACCCCGGTATTACTGACCCTGTTCCCTATGCTGCCTGTTGCATTCCTGTGGCTATTTCATAGCTATCAGTCTGTCAGACAGTTTAAAAGTCCATCTCCCATGAAATGAACAGAGGGTGACAATGTGACTCCGCTGTCTCCTCAAAGGGGGGAAAAAAACACCTCTCAGTATTCTGGGCAATATAATGTAAAATTAGGGTCTATGTGGTTGAATTTAACATGGGCCTGGTTCCATTTCACTATCCATTGCATTCCTGTTTCAGAAACTTCACATACACATGTGACACAGAGCTTTGTAAGTAGCTAAGTATAAAAAGAGATGCAGGAAAAAGTTGTGTCTCATTTCTTTGGGTTATGTTCCTACTGCACCGGATACGGTTTTAATGGGATCTCATAGGTATCACTTCCCTCAGATAATAGGGGGAAAATCACCGTCCATTATAGTTTTACAGTTGAGACCTTGAACTCAAAATAATTCAAAGTATAAGAGTGTTTGTAGAAGTCCTGGCACATGAATCAGACACTCTAGAGTTTCTAGAATTTTCTCACCATTGTGCTCTCCTAAGAAAACAAAGTTTTATTCAGATTGTCTAATATCAGTCTAATAAGGATTTAGGGTAAAGATGTGCATTATGTCACAATAACTTAAAGTTCAATTTTCAAAATGCACTTAAATAGTAATAGAGGAGATAAGCATTAAAGACATAATAAACATTACACATAGTGTTAAATATAAGATAGAAGCATTAGCATAAACACTTGGACATACGTTTGCTATTAAATTTTCTCAAAAGTATTTTTGGGGAATTGTGTTTCCTAGACTATTAAATGAACTATTTTTCAATTCAATATTTTTTGAAAACTTTGTTGGAGATCGTCACTTAAAACCAAGGGGAAAATTCCAAACAGAAAATAAACCGGGTGAAATCTCACCCACCTCCCGTGACATTTCTGAGGCTAGGTGTGCCTGGAAAGGTCCACAGTGTCCTACAGTGGGCCCCCAATTGTGGGGTGGGCCCCCCGCGCCATGGCAGATGCACCTGCCCCGCCTCTCTCTGGCACAGGTAACAGGGAATGGCCAGGCAGCCTTTAGACACAAGGGGGACTAAATGCAGCAACGGAGTGATTTCTTTGTTTTAATTGCATTGAGAGGAGTAACTCTGCCCCGCACTGGGCTCTCGTGCTCTGGCCGAACAGTGAGAGCACTCAGAACGCCAGGGACGGGCACCCAGGGGGCTCAGCACAGACTGCCTGGCAGAACGAGCCAGGGTTCAGCCTCGCTGAGGCCCATCCTGGCTGAGACACGAGAAGAACTGCAAGATCAGTAGCCCTTGATTTTGGAACCAAAGTTAAAATCTTAACCTTGCGGGGATGTTATAAAATTCTAGTGATTACATATGTGTGTTTGAAGATAGGAGATATTTTCAGGTACATTACATCTGGCATGTGAATGTATTTTCCACCCCTACTCTGACATCGGAGGGATTAGGCTAACCTACCCTGGTGAATGATTGGTCACAGGGAAGGAAACATGAAGTAAAATGATCACCAGACACATTTGTGAACCCACAGAATCTTTCCACGGCTCCCAAGTGAGCGCTGTCAGGGATCGGAGGGCGCCTTTCGAGATGGCAGTGGGCTCATCAATAAAGATGTTTGCTGCATTGAGAAAAGCCAGCCCGCGATCTTGAAATGATCTGGCTGTGGGAGGAGGTGTTCCATTACACCTCTCCTACGGTTTTCCTTGACTCATCATCTCAGACTTACCCTCATGACGTCACGTTATCCTGTTAAAACATAGGATTATAAAATATGGCATGATTATCTATTTTTAACTTATTTTATTATAAAAATGACATGATTATTATACAAAATTCAAGAAAATACAGTCTCACATTCCCCATGTCCCTCATTTATACTCATAAAAAAACTGTCACTTTGCTTTTCACACATTTTACATTATTTCTGATTCTGCTACTTTAAATCTCAGTCCAGCCTAGAGCTCTGCAGACTTCAGTGGCAGCACCAACGGCCCCCCAGCTCAGAACAGAAGACAGCTGTCTCTTCCCTCCAACCCCAGAATCTCCTGGTGACATGATGGGCGGAAGTCACCATCCTCCACTGGATTGGTCCCTTCCATACTGCCTATTCCATTTTGCAAAGCTCTCGTAGTCCAAACATTTCCCCCTTCACGGTAAACTGAGAATGTGCTTCTTTTTAATCAATACTGGTTTTATTTAGGGAGCAAGGGACGAAAGGTAAGGGAGACTCCTCGGGCAGTTCTCCAGCTCCGTGCAGCTGTGGCAGCCCCGGGGTGTCCTCTGCCCCGCATGGGAGAAACCCAGGTTCTTAAAGCAAGTCAGGCCCCCCTTCTCTGGAAGCGATCCCAATCATTACATCCTCTCTAAAACACAGCACTGGAAACGGAATCAATCTTCTGGGTGTGCTCAGCTGGCACCTCTTTAATTGCTTGGGGAGCCAGGCTGACTGAATTCCACACGCAGGGCCACACTCAGGGCCACGTGCAGGCAGGCGAGGCTCATCACCCTGGTGCCAAGCCTCGTGGTCACCAACATCACCCTCATCCTCATCACCAGCAATTTCTCCATGCCAATCCCTAGCACTGAACCCTTACGGGGAAGAGTCTATCAGGAGCCATCTTTCAAATGACAGGTGAGAACATGGAGGTTTAAAAAGTGAAAGTAACCGACCAAGGTTTCCCTGGTAAGTTTCTATGGGCCGTGGTAACAGGGGATTCGGTCTTGATGTAGAAAAGCAAACGGACAGCTTGCTAACCCCCACTGGAAACGGTAGGATTTCTCATAGGAACTAACATGGCCTCGCAGGTGCACGGGATCCAGCAGGTGGTGGGTGGCTCTCACCATAGCTTAGCATAGCGCGTCTCATAAGGGCACGGAAGTGGGAATCGCTGTCACTAGAAA